TATGTTGTTCTGTACACGGATTCCCCAGTGGCTATATTGCATCATATAGAATACTCATGGATGTGTATGCCACTGTACCAAATTAATTATGATCATATTCTTTATTATTATCCCATTCAGACCCGACATTTTAACAAGAACACACATATATCTAGTTCAGAAACACTAGACTGAAATTAATCCTATATGATTCCAAAATTATTAGATATATTTATGATTAATTTCATTGTGTAATAAGAAAACAAATGTCAAATAAATGGATTTTCATGTGAATTAAATCCAGAGGGCAAATATCGGAACCAATGACAGACCCTATCATTAAACATGATTGTTAGGGATACTGGGCGTTCAATAATTCCGCTAAACCACCATTTCACAATGGGAAAATACGGGGCATAATCGGCGATATTTTCGTTATCAAATTTGCAAAATGAAGATCGTATCATGTATGCGATTTCGTGATAACAGTGAGCTGACACGAAATATTAACGCACATATCACTGTTGAAAATGTGGTTTGTGTCATTGTTTACGTTTCACCGATGTGACGAACACTTTCGAGTCTCGAAACAGCTTGAATAATGTTTTCCTTCACTAAAAGTAACATCGGACGTTATTCTCGTGACATATACATTGCAAGAGCATTCATGAAAATGCTAAGACAAATATTTAACCACCCGTTCTAGCGCTTTCCTATAGTAAATACACGGCGTGTCCGCCATGTTTGTTCGTCTAGTGGAGGCGGCCATTGTGCAGTCATTGCCTGGGTCAGTGTAGCGCCAGCGCAGCATACCCGAGGAACAAGGCTGCTTCAATTATCCAATTGATTTGATTAGAATATACTTGCGTCAGTGTATTTTATTAACGCCCAAAACCGTAATTTAAACACATATAATAACAGATCATATACACGCATGGTGCCTCCACTTACTACTAGCTTTAATAGGCCATCCCGGAATAAAATAGTTCCCCCAAAAGCGAGGAACATCCCTTTTAGTCTGTTTATAAGAAATGTATTCCAAACAATATCCTCAGTAGATGAGGAGATCTGTTAAAGAATTGCCTCAGTAAGTCAATCACAATGACAGAGCGTCGAAATACATTTACATCAAGTACAATACGTCAAAATTGCCGACACGATAAACGTAACGGGAGATATTTCCGAAGTTGTTAATGAACCTGTGGTTATTTCAAGCCTTTGTCATCACTGATCAGTTGGCCGATCATTGAAAGGTGATTGTAAAGATGTGTCAAATAGATACTAAGGTAAACTCATAGATTGCTGTAGATTGTTACTACGATAGTTTGGATGTTTTGGGTTTTTTCGTTTTTATTTTTCTAGGATGGGTTGTAGCGAGGGTATCCTCAAACGGGCTATGCAACCAAACTCTCTGACTTATCCCAGAGTAAACTAAGACGCTAAGTTCAAAATTAAAGGGTCTAAATGACGAGAAACAAAGCTTCTGCATGAATTCGTATATGTACCAGGGAATTCCCCGGGTTTTCCCAGGAATGTGGATGTGGTCAGTGTTTATGTCATTTCAAGAATACAGTCACGTGAAAAACGTCATGTGACCGACCTCTCGTCCAATGGAAAAGCCGTATATCCTGTAAACTTCACATAAAAAATAGTTACTGTTATAACCAAATGAAACACAACCCATTATCCGGTAGAGGTAACTGTGCATAGCGGAGGGATATGTTATCACACTAAACATCCTAAAACTGGCTTATCAGCAAATCTCCCTGCACTACGCGACACAGATACTAGAGCAAGGCATGCCAGAAATACGAAACTTAATGCTTCCGAAAGGAAGCCTTAGGCATCATGTGCGTCGGGTGGCCAGCGCCATCTCATTGGCCGTTAACAGTTGTACAAGGCGGGGCAAAAAGCATCGTTTTTCCGTCCATTTTACGCTTGAAAAACTCGACCCTTTTCCGGACACTTTCTAGACGCTCGCAAAATAATCAATTTTTATGAATTTTTAGTAGTTTTCCCGTCCAATGACCATATACCGAAAAAACGACGTTTCCGTGTTTGCTGTTTAATATTGATAAATTTTTTAATGATAAAAATAGATCCTTAATTAAAATGATATAGTAAATAAACAACGCGAAGTATCAATTTTCTTTAATTTTGAGAAAGATTACGATACTACCAGTCATCCTTCCCAAAATGAATGAATCCATATACAGACGTAAGGGTTTAGATGAGGTTGGCAACATAGAAACAATCTCGGCCTACATTAGGTGGAAAGTGTAAAAATAAATACTTTGTGGAATTCGGAAAGTGTCATCTGTTTTAAACAACGCGCTTAAGATAATTTATGGGTGCAGGCATTGTGCGGTATAAAAGGCGTGTCCCTGGTCACAATGTTCAGATTAAATCAAAGAGCCACACCCCTTCCACTGATTTTCCCACCTGTACTAGAAATAAAAGGTACCAGTGAAACAGTCTCATCTGTTTAAAATGTAGATTTAAAGTGACCCAAAACTATCCGCAAGACTGTATGACAAGAGAGATCCTATAGTCAACTTTCCCTTTCTGTCGAGCAATATTCCATCAACTCCAGCCCATGTCTACATTTCACAAATTTTGAGATCAAGCATGTTCTTTCTATGACGCTTTTTAATGAGCGTCATATCGCACTTGCTGAAAAGTTGTTTTATCGGGGTTACAACATTCAAGCCCTAAGCAAAGCTTTGAAAAGGTGTTATAGTAGAGAGCATTTCCAATCTTGATGCATCAGTGACAAATAGTGACGCACCGGTGGTGAAGGATACGCTCAACTTTTCGCGTACAGCGGATATCATCACTTTTTGATGGTGATCAAAGACACATGCTCATGATATAGTCGGAATCGTACAATCGTACTTCTTTAGTCTAATATTTGTTGATAATTTATATATTGCCAATCTTGTCTTTATGTCTTCCGTGTTCTAGTCACACATTTTTTTACATTACAGTGGAGGAAAAGAACATTCATCTAATACTTACCGCCGCTTTTTGTAAACTATGAAGAAGAACCATACATTGTGATTGATTTGTGTTTCCCGAAACCACCAGGTTTTAAAGAAATATAACAGATTTGGAGTGGTTAAATGTGGAAAATGTCTGACAAATATGGCATTATGATATATACGAGTGGGATAGCTACTGTTTGGTGATCAAATTGAATTCTTATTGTTGTTTCTACTAAGATGGGTTTTTGATAATATGAGTTCACCTGGAAAGATATTCACCAGTTTATACTATCAGCAAAGACAGAAACTTAAAACATGTTGCTGTCAGCATCGACATTCAAATATTTTGAAATATTTTCTGCATTAATAGCCAGGAAATATAAACGTCAACACTGGAGAATAATCATTCTCGATTATCCCACTAAACAGATGCCACTGGGTGTAAAAAGCAAACTAGTGGAATATTTTGATAAAAATGGATCACTGAAATCATGGATGGCACCAGGTGTTCGCGAAAAGGACAAGCACGTCCTGCCCAATCAGTAGCATCCGCCACAATTTGCAAAGATTGTATGTATTTGTTGCCTGACACTGCACAGCAATTCCCCTGTCATGCAAAGCGTCATGTAAACAAACCAGACTATCAAGTGAAGGTCAGAAATCCAGTCACACGATAGAGCATTTACTGATTTTCTTGAAACTAAATACAATATATTAATATATTGTTGAAAATTCTTGAATAAAACTCAAAAACAGGAAGCAACAATTTCATGTACGCTCTAACATGGACTGTAATATATTATTCATGTTATTGTACGCCAAGGATGTCATGTACAACATATTGGACAAACGGAGTGCTTGAGAGACAGAATGGGCGTCCATAAACAGATAAAGGACCCCATGCAAGGTTCATCCCCTTAAGCGCTCGACAAATGCGCAGCAGGAAAAGAAATAGAATTTAAGATATACCCTTTCTGTAAAATGAGTACTGCTGATGCCCAGCAGTGTAAAGATAAAAAAATGTTTTCATTAAAAAGTTGTGCCCATCTTTAAATAAGTAGCGCATGGTATATGAACTATATTTGTATTTATTGTGAATGTTACCACTGTCATTGTAAAACCGCGGTGTTATAACTGTAATCACTTCTCCCTGAAGATACAATTGAAGGTGAGGTGAAATGGGGTTTAACGTCGCGTCCAAGATTATTGCACTTATATAGCGACGTGCATGTACGTGTGTGTGTTTGTGTGGCTGCTTGTACTAGTCCGGACTGATGCCAATTTATAGTGCTAAAAAATTGTGTACTTTGTGGTGAAAACATGATACTTAGTACAGTCGGAGTTGATGACATTCCAAATAGTTAAAGATATGGGGCCACCCAAAAAAACAAACATGGCCGCCTTAGAGAGAGTGAGTGAGTTGGGTTAAACGCCGCTTTTAACAGTATTCCAGTTATATCACGGCGTGTCAGCTTAATGTGGGAGAAAACGTTTACCACTTCGGTGAAACCCACGAGCACGGGTATGGTGCTGACAAACCTAGAAATATAATCAGGGCGAACCGGGATTCGAATCCAAAATCATAGGTTTCTGGCGTGCCCAAGGGAAGCAACTCTGCACAGCGAATCGCGGCGCCTTAGACGACTGGGCCACCCATGCCCCCTCACAGTGACATAGCTTACGGACTTCAAACAACATTCTCCACTCCGTCTGGAATATGCATAGTAGAAGTAACCCAGTGAATCATGGAGACTTCAATAACTCGAAGTCGAACACACATCGAGTTACGCGTAGCACCGAGGGTGAGTGAGTGAGTGAGTGAGTGAGTGAGTTTAACGTTGTAACGGCATTATATGGGCCAAATAGCAATGCTGTAGTACCGAGAAAAAAAGAATCAAAGAGCCAATAACGATTCTACAGGGGTCAAATAGGGGAACGTTGTCTCAAACGATATATCGAGACAATGGATTCGAGTTAAGAGGTTTCGTCGTATTGTAAAAAAAGAGTATCTGTCCAGTAGTGTGCACAGCGCCTCACCTTGGCCGGTGAAGCAGGCAGAGACGAGGCAGGTGCACTCGTCATTGACGCATGGTAGTTGGTGTCGCACTTCTCTCGGGAGCAGGTGCTGGCGTCACTGCCGCTGCACCGTTCGCTGCTGACGACCCCTGGAAAATTAAGACAAAATATGTATTTATGAAAAGGGATCTCATTTATTGATTAGTGCGAGGTGAAATAAGGTTCAGCGTCGCGTTCAAAATCATTTACTTATATAGCGATGTGCATGTGTGTGAATGTGTGTGTGTGTGTGTGTGTGTGTGTGTGTGTGTGTGTGTGTGTGTGTGTGGAATTTGTTTAAATAACCACAATAAAAACAAATAAACTTCCACTGTCGATCGATATGGTAAGGAAAATAAATATTTACTTTGAACGCTTCGTTTCTTAATTTTACCCTACTACCTTACTGTCAAGAAATGTTTTTAAAAATAAAAAAAACTTTTTTTTCAACTGCTTACAAAGATTTTCGAAAAATAATGCGTTTGTTGAAACTTTCGTGGATGAGATCCGAGTTTCACTTAATTATACAGACTTGACGCTTATTTAATTGCAAATTCAAATTCGTTCGTGAATATAACAGGTTCTTTAATAAAATACACGTTTATCAAAGGACAGGTTACTTTCCTGTTTTGCAGTGTTTGTTATCTGTCGCATGAAGACCTTGATAAAGTCTACACGTCATCAACTTCCACACAGAGGTCACGTTGAGGTCAAGTATCGTGATTATAAAGAAAACCTTTCGTATACCACACACGTCGCCCTTTAGGCATAACACGTCATTGAAACACTTTACTGTGACAATTATATGCTTCGAACAGGAAAATCCCGATGCTCCAACGCAATGATATTCAACTGACTTAAACCTTATAGAATATTAATCAGCAAATGGGATTTATTGAAACAAAGGATTTCTTTTTTCTGTGGAATTCCTGTTTGGTGAGGGAATGATTGAGTGAGTTAGTTCTTTTTTCAATGTTCCAGTGATGGAGACACCAGATAGCTTCACACTTTTTTTACCATATGGGGAATCGAACCTGAGCCTTTGGTGTGACGAGCGATCACAAGATTACGAAATTTATTGTTCATATTGTTTTACTTTTTGGGGTGTAGGGTATACAATGTGGATGAATTGTACTTAGTCATACTTCTAAAATCTTAAGTTACTTACCAAAAGCGAGGATAACAGACACACCGAGCACAAGGAACTACATGGCTGTTGACATAACTCCGCTATGTCAGCTGACGTCATACCCGGGCGTGTATACACTAACAGAAATAGACCAGTGAAGATCCGGGGTAGAATAGGTCTTCAACCCATGCTTGCTGCAAAATGCGACTGTGCTTGTCGAAAGAGGAGACTAAGGGGATCGGGTGGTCAGGCTCGCTGACTTGGTTGATGCATGTCATCGATCTCAATTGCGTGGATCGATGCTCATGATGTCAATCACTGGATTGTCTGGTCCAGACTCGATTATTTACAGACCGCCGTCATATATCTGGAATATTGCTGAGTGCGGCGTTTAACAAAAAACAAACAAACAACAACAACAACAAAATACACATGAGTATTCTGAATGTATGTTCCTCACTTACTCTAAGACGGCTTCACACGGGCAACATTACTTCGCAAACATAATCTCCTTAATGTTTGCCAACTAATGTTTTCACACGATACATATCCGGGTAAGAATATAGGTTCCCAGCAATCTTAGGTTGTCGTAAGAAGCGACTAAACGCACCAGGTGGTCAGTCTTGAGGATTTGGTTGACTTCATGTCATCGTATCCTAATTGCGGGGATTGATGCTCATGATGTCAGTCACAGGATTGTCTAGACCAGACTCAATTATTTACAGAGCTATAGTCCATATAGTGCGGTATCAAACACACACGCAAACACTTCTCTCAAATGCCGAGGCCACTTTGTAGCAGACCTCAATACAAATCGGTTAATGTGAAGTCCCTTTATCATAATTGTTTTAAAGAGACGGTAAGGCAGGACCGGCAGTAAATGAGACATAAGTGAGATATTAAACACAAATGAGCTGTTAAACACAAATGAGATATTAATCACAAAGACGATGTTAATCACTATACCTGGATGGGTTCCACAGCTGGACACCAGGCACGTGCAGGTTCCCCTCACACAAGTCAAGGTCGAGAGGGCGTCGCAGCTTTCATGCCTGCAGGTGCTGGTATCATGGCCTTGGCATCCCTCGGCATCAACCAGGGCTACAAAAAACATTTATCATACCCCCATGTCAGAATGATGAGATCTGATTGGTTCACGTGATAGTGATAAAATACTATGTATCCCACATTGGAGGGAAACAATTTCTTTATCGGGGGAATACATCCCTCATATCCCGCCACGAACAAGAGAAGACATGTGGATTTTTGAGAGAAGGACTAGATCCCGTATACCTCGCTATTTCCGAATATGACAGTGTATTTATTGTTTAACAATGATTGGAAATGTGTGACATTGTTTCTGTTGAGATTCCGTAGACGCTCATTGCATTGTGTTTAGACAGTGATCAGCCGTCAGGAAGTTAGATGCCTGTGTGGTGTGTAAACCTCCAGTACGGTATACCCAGGACGGTGTTAGTATGTTATGGAAAATACTGTTCATGCAATTTCATCATATCAAAACCAGCTTCCAAGTGAGGATCGCTCATCATCCTAACCCATAATGGAAGCTTGACCACCGTCACTGCTGGGTATATATATATATTATCACTGACTAGTGCTATCACTACTGTATTTTTGCATTTGATACTGACCACTGCCATCAGTGAGTATTGTACTACCGCTCTATTATGTACTGCCAATGTAATTGCTGTGCAGTAATTGTTTTGATGTGTAAACCTAGTTTATGTTATAGTACATTTGTTGATTGTATGCCGCTTGTTGGTTGTTTGTTGGTTTCACACTAAGTTCCTTTACGTACAGATTTCTAGGTTAACATATTGTTTCAATTTGGGAATCTACAACAGAGTCAATGAAGGTCACCTGACACAGCAATCGAACAGCTGTTTTCTATCAATTTTGAGTTTGGTTTTATCCTTTCACAATGTCCTATTAAAACATGTCGGTGAGGTAAATTCGTTGTAGCAGTATCACGAGGGCGTTTGTGGTTTTATGCGTCCCGTGTCAAGTTTTATACCACGAGCGTGGCTAACGCGGAACGCATAAAACCACTTATCATACCTCCATGTCAGAGTGATGAGGATGTGATTGGTCCACGTGATCTTGATAAAATACTGTGTAACCCACCTTGCGGGGTAATAACTTTCTAAGCGGGGAATAAATATCTTATACCCCGCCAAGAGCAAAAAAAGGCTGCACGTGGATTTCTTAGAGGCAGAATAAATCCCTCGTGATCCTGCTACAACTTGCAATGTGACTTTATTGTATAGGCGGCTTCACGCGGACAACAGAAGAACACAGATTGCCAACTTGTATTTTCAAACTACAAAGGCGTGTTGTTGTTACATAGTCGATCTTCATTCCTTTCAAAGGTTGACGCCATTTTGTAGCGTAAAAGCCATATGAATACTACACAGTATCTGATTGACTGAAAGCAACCAACATACGTTTGACAACCATTCACATGTCAAAATCGAGTTTGAAACACAACATTGTCGGCCGAAATATTGGTTAGATATTCAATGCCAACGGTTTATCAAATTCCTCATACTGTTTTCGCAAACTGAATGTTCCCTGGGTGGTACAAGACAGTATGCCGTTCCCCAACATCATGGTCAATAGGGGTGACTATACGGGCACTGTACTGATACAATTGTATAACAATGGTTAAGCACTATTGCTATTAATATAATACTGTATAAATATACGTTTATAACGAACACGCTTATAACGAACTGACGGATATAACGAACTTATTTTTTGTCCAAACATTTGCTATATATATGCTGTATATATGATTTTAACGAACTACGGTTATAACGAACTCAAAGGGACCACTAAGTTTAGTTCGTTATAACCGTTGTTTACTCTACTTTTGTAATATTGGTTCAGATACATGCATGGCTTTACTGTTGTAGTGGTAAAAACTTCATAAAATTGTAAAAAAAGTGTACCTATTCCTTCTCATAATTAGCGGGTAACGCTGATTGTCAGAAAATGTTCTCAATGGACCCTCACATGTCTATCCAAACAAGGCGCCATGTGGACACAAAATGTAATGTAATGTAATGTTTCGTAATATTTGTATGGCATTTCGCCATCCATTATAACTATTTTAATTTCACTTCTAATCACTGACACTGGTGCTTGAGAAAGTTAATGTTAAGTAATTATAAATAGCTACGTGGATAGTCATATAGATAGCTACAAGGAAATATTTAACCGTTTTTTTCGGCTGTACTTCGGTAGATAGATAACAGACCAACAATAGAGAATATCCATTCCGAAACAGATGCCATAGCAAGTACAAAGCAAAAACAGTGGTGACATTTATATGAATGGATAATTGAACACCAGTGATAACACCGGGTGTTCGCGAAAAGGGTTAGCATGTGCTGCTCTACCAGTACAATTTCCAGAAAATTGTTTGTAAACATTTACTGAAAATGAAGATACAGTTAGTTTATCGTTATTTCAAAGTAAAAATGAAGGCCTACCTAAAGTAACCAGACCAAGGGCTGCGATAATAAGACACCTCATGGTTTCAGCTTCAAGCTACTGTGTGGAGACTTAGTGCTGGAAGTGAAGGTAGGGCAGAGAAACTGGGGCAGTTCTATAAATGGGAATGACAGCTATCTGGACAGCTGGTCAAATAGGTAAGCAGAGATATACACAGTTATTTGCCCATTGTGTGTTAATTTTTTTCTGAGTTGAAGACACGATGAAGTTTATTTTTAAAAGAGACGTATTAAAGAAGTTTTTGAGATGGGTTTTCTGCGGGTGGGGCAGTACTCGGACAGTGGCAGTACTCTGACACCCAGCAAATTAACACGTGTACACAATAAACAAACGTACTGATGCGCATAATTTTCACGCAGGCTTCTTCCTCTTCCTCCCTGACGTCAGAAAAGATTCGTCTGCTACTGGTAACACTCACGATAAAAGCTCGTGTACATGTTTTCCCACGTGACCATGCCGCCCACGCATTTTGTTGCGTTTTGGCAATGCATTGCAGTTTCTGATCATAAGGTTATAGCTTCCGCACGACTAGTTCTGGTCTGTTTTTCTGTTTTTGGCGACTTCTTGTGAATCGACCATGCCAACATGGAAACGTTTGGCGCAAAAATTCTAAAAATAACCAAATGAAGCTGTGTCCGACTACTACCTCGGAGAAATTACGTGGGAATGCAGTACTCGGACAATCGACAAATAAAATTTGGAATTACATATTAGAAATTTTTTAAATAAAAATAATTGAAAAAAGCTTTTAAGAAAATGCAAAATGAAAAAAATAGGTGTTTTTCGATCGCGAGTGACATACTTTAAGAGGGTTCTAATTGGGGATGGGGGTGATGTGGTGCACGTGACTTTGTCTTTGGGGGTGTTATTCAGGGGGTTAATACGTACAGTATGTCAGTTGCATGTTTTTAGTGTAAATATTCAGTAACTGTCAATCTCATAAAAAGACGTTATCAAAGTGTCGTTTATCAATCATATTTTACTTTTGCGATGAAACTGAACGTTTTTTACGTGTCACCAATCAGGACCCTCATTCATTCTAATCTGATAACAGAAGGTAATACGTATCAGTAACATTCCCGTTATTCTTTAATATATGGATATGATAGTTCCATTGACTAGTTCTAATTATATTGTAGGACCGTCTGTGTAGATTTGCTAAAATGAGCGTTCGAGGAGGAAAGCCTGCCTATTCATATGAAAACTTAAAGCGGGCTATGGATGCTGTTAACGCCAAGCAGATGTCTGCACGCAAAGCTGCCGTCGCTTCGGTATACCCAAAAGTACTCTTCATGACAAACTCTCCAATAAAGTACCTCTTGTTTACCGCAAAGGTCCTTCACCCATTTTATCACAAGACGAGGAAAGACATCTTTCAGATTGGGCTATACACATGTCGAGTATAGGGTACGGCCGGACAAGGGACGAACTGTTAGACACGGTCCAGAAAATAATCAAATTAGATGGTAGGGAGAATCCTTTTACTGATGACGGACCTGGTGGGGATTGGTTTAGGGCTTTCTTAAAACGAAACCCTACAATATCAGTAAGAACACCAACACAACTTTCAAAAGAACTTGCTATGGTATCACAACAAAAAAATTGCTGATTGGTTTGATACCTTCACAACCAACATCGCTGACAAAACTGATTCAGACATCTTACATGACCCATCAAGGCTGT